CCCCAAAACCCCAAAACCCCAAAACCCCAAAACCCCATTAAGCTCAATTCAAACTGAAATTTAATCAATTATCAATCATCTGCTCGGACTCGACTAAATTTGAATCTCTTCTTCGTATAACAAGTACTCATAGCCTCTTCTAAGATTAGGAGTTAGCTTATGAAGAACTTTTGAAGAGACTTCGCTTGTCTTTCCTTCTACTTCTTGACTGGGGTTGAACATATCTCTCAGATAATTACTCTCATCATTACTTCCATTGTGTCCAAAAGAAAGGCCTCTGCCAACCAATCTCTGGGATGCTTGAATTCCTTGTCTAGCCTCTTGCTGTTTCTCAACAAGTTCTTCGCATTCTTGAACGATATCTTCTTTATAAAGATCCATCTTCTTTTGAAGGACTTCAATGGAGCCAATGAATTTCTCCAATTTAGTTTTAAACATCGCAAGTGCATCTTCTCTGGCACTTGCAAAAGCTGTTCTTCCTTTAGCAACTTTCTTCCACTGGTATTCAATGTATCTCCTGACTGTGGGTTCGAATAGGTCTTTATCAAGCTCTTTGAAGCCTTCTGCAAGAGCAATTCCTTTCTTAGTAGGCTTGAATCTTCTGACTCCATCTTTGCCCTTCTCAATAGTGACGTACCCCCTCTTGATTACAATATTGATGTGACTAGGAATGGTTCCATCAGTTCCAATCCTGTGCTTTTCCATCTTCTTAATTAGCTCTGGTTCAGAGAGAAGCTCTTTTGTGGCAGGAAATCTTCTCTGGATCTTGAAGCCTTTCACTTTGTAGCTGTTGCCTCTCTCAATCCTTGCTTCTGAGATGTTGAGGATTCTCATTAGTTTCTCAGTAAGAGGGAGATGCTCAAGATATCCTCCAATCATGATGTTGCTAAAATTAGCAACAAAGGTTAATTCGCTAAGTCTGAACTCGGAATTCACAGTTTGGAGAGTGCAATCTTGGCTCATAGATGCAAAGAAGTGGCTGACGATATGGTGATACAGCTTAGAGATCGCAGTATCTTTCTTCAGTTTTCTATACTGACTCACAAGATGGACAGGAGAGATAGGAGGATGATCTTCCTTGGCTCCTCTCTGTAGCTTCACAATATTATTGTGGCTTCTCAGTTCAGAAGCAATCTCTTTGAACTCATTCTTCTTCTGGAACATCTCAAGAACTTTATCCTCTTGATAGTCATAAGCGTAAGCTCTACTGTGAGTCCTTGGATAACTTATCAACCCTCTTGTGTACAAGTTCTGAGCATGTGCTCTGGTTTTACTAGCTGAAAATCCAAATTCCTCACAAGCAGAAGACAGCAAGTCAACTGTATTCATAGGCTTGGGCTTCTCAAGGTATTCTGTCTTTGTTGATACGGAGGAAGCTTCCAGTTCTTCAATAGGAGCCAATTTAGTGAGAAATTCAGTTGCTTCTTCTTGGCTACTGAACTTTTTGCCAGAAAGCTCCAGGTCAAGTTCATCTCCATCTTCTGTTTCAATTGTAATTACTGGAAGCCAATAAGGTTCAGCTGGTGTATCTTCAAGACTTCTGTATCTTTGGTAAACGAACCAGAAGGTTGGGAACTGACAAGGACCATAAGAAGTGATGAACTCTCTCCCAATTTTCAGATAGTTTCTGATCTCATTAGACAGTAAGACTGTGAAAGATCTACCAAGTCTCAGATCTACTTCAGACCTCAAGTCATGAGCATAAGCTTTTCTCTCATTTGGATGAGTCTTCAAGTTGTTAAAAGTACGGAAGATCTCTCTTCTAGAGAGCGATGAGAACTTTGCTCTCATAATATTCTCTGGAATGTATCTTGTCTTCGAGTGTGGATCATTCTTTTTGAATCTATATTGCTCAAGCATTCTGATAATCTGAAAACAGATGTTCTCTCCAGAGAAGTCGTTGTCCAACCATAGTACTATCATGTCTGATTCATCCATATAGCAGCAAAGATACTCAAGAAGGAACTTCATTTTGTTCGGTCCTCTTCTTCTGGTTGTAGCAAAGTTCTTCCTTGCTGGATGATTGTTCACAATCTTGGCTTCAAATATTTCCATTGGATTCTTTTCACTCTTGAGTTCTGCTTCATTCTGAAATCCATGACTAAAGTCTTACTGAGGAATGCTTACTTATAGATATGGCCGTAGACTGACAAGATATTGAAATCTGCAGCCATTCCCTTATATTCTCCTTGAAACTGATAAACTGTGTGACCCTTGTATCTTTCAGTATAATGGTAAGATCCTTGCTCAGAAAGGATATCAAAGAGAGTCTTTGCTACCTTAGGCTTCTCAGCAACCATGGAGATATTGAGCTTCCCGTTCTTTTTGTAGATCTTCGTCAGTCTCCACAAGATACTCATATCATAGAGCCTTCCTTCAAAGATTTCCCTTTGCTTTCTTGTTTCTTCTATAAAATTTATCAGTAAGGCAAAACTTTAGATACAAAATATAAGGAGAGCTTACCGTCCTTCTCATCATCCGAGCTTTCTTCAGACTCAATGTCTTGATCTGAGTCAGACCCAGGACAGTCAAGTCTGCGATACTCAACTTCTGGCTGAAACACACGGTGAGTATGATCCTGAACTGAAGGTGTTATCTTCTTTGAGGGCTTAGCCTCATGTTCTCTGGCTCTTCTAGACTTTTTGACTCGGTGCTTCTGAAACTTAATGGGGAACACTCCTGAAGAGATTTTAGTACTCTTGAAACCCTTGGGTTTGGACATAGTCAAGTCTTGGTTCCACTCTCCTAGATAATTCAGTTGAGGCTCTCCTTCTTCTTGTTTCGAATTTTCGAGATTCATTCGATATTTAGTAAATAATTATTAATTTTTACTAAAATTTTCAACATCTTGCCAAGAAAAAGGGGTTTTGGGGTTTTGGGGTTTTGGGGTTTTGGGGTTTTGGGG